GAAAGTATTGATCCATTTGATCGATCGCCGTACTTTGAGAGAAGCTTCAAGTGCAAAATTCACAAAGAAGATTGAAGAATTTTGGAGATAAAAACGGTTTGTTTTCGAATTTCACCTATTCACCCCCCGGTTGAAAAAGTAACAATTACGTAATGTTGGAGTCACGTGACCAGCGTTTACCAGGGCTATGTCGCCGCCTTCAATTCGCGACTAGCCCTGGGTACGAGGTTGCTCATCACTCGGGAAACGTCGCAAATCGATTCTAAAGGTCAAAGTACCCCTGTGGCAGCCTCGTACCCAGGCGCTTTGGTTTGTTTACGTCATTAAGCGCACGTGGGAAGGCACGCGAGGGAGAAAAATGGAAAATTCGGCGGGAAGCGCCTGGTAGAATTCGCATTCAAAATGGCGGGTCAGTGTTCTGCAAGTGTTCTGTATTATTTATATTATTATTGAAATGACATTGTTTACAGCAAAATACGGGTTCATACATTGCCATTACTCTTAAGAGTGCAATATTTAACTTAAACTTTTAATAGTTTGCCTTGTTCATACCCTTTTTATAATATTAACTATGCAGTCACTACACAGTGTCTTGGTTTTGCTGTTTTTGTTCAATATCACGCATTGACATTATATTTATCGTATTCACCTCAAAATTTGTGGTTGAGATACAAAATTTGATTTATTTGTCAAGATTTGTCAAGTATAATTTGGAGCCATATCACAGAATAAGGAAACATATCCATGTATAGGTTTTGTTTATATTTTGATTTTGACCTTGGCTAGGCCAGCTAGGTGTTGTCGTGCGGGATATATCGCTTTTTATTACTTGCCAATTCATATTTTGTTTGCAAATCACTGGTTATTTTGACCCTGGATATATTTCTCGTCATTTTAATAATTCTCATCATGTTTTAAATCCAGTATAATAAACGTAAACGACTGTACTACACTCGGCAGGACGACACGAATATCTATTGTTGTGACTGTTTACAAATATGAACTGTTTGCCGCCGCGTTCTTTGCATTGAGCCTCTGAGCTGTATTTCATGCCTTTCATCATATTGCAATGAAATTCCTGTGACATATTCAATCCATAAAGCGAGTGAAACAACGAAAGAATTTACACTAGAACTGTTTAATTTGATAATATATATAGTGTTTTAATATACCCGACTATGTGTAGTTTAAATAAGCACGATCACGATATTCGCACAAGTTTACATTCAACAGTTATTATTTTGAAAGATTAATCAACATCATACAGTTTTGAATAAAAAGTCGTATTTCAAACCGCCAAAAACCACTTGATCGAGTCCGCTCCAGAAATCGATATCCGCTCCAGAAATCGACACGGATTCTGCCAGGCACAACAGGTGGGCAATTTGTCTGAGCATGCGCGAAGAAAATCAATATGGCGACATATATTAGGAGTGTTTCGCGAATTTATCTGGTTTTAAAGCTGATAAAACAACATTTTAATGAACGAAAACTTTGTAATATTTAGTGGAAAACATTAAGCTATGCATTCCAAAGGTTTTAAATTGAAAATAAGTACTTTTGCTTTATTTTATTGCTTTTTCTGCTTTGAAAACAGGCAATCTCATTTTTTTGCAAAAATCTAATCTAATATTTTACCCATCATTTGTTTAACACTTGGCTATATAAGTTACAAAGGTATTGTTAGCTTATCTGAAAGATTTCATTATTCCTGGTACACATTTTATAACAAAGAATGAAATGTAATTTCAAAAATTTAATATGCATATCACAAGCAATAGTTTTTATTAGAACAACACATAATAAGTTGTTATTTTGGAAACAGCATTTAGTCCTCCAGCTTGATGTCATATTCCATTTATTTGGATATTTCAATGAAGGAATGTGAAATAATAATTTAATCTTGTGCAAAATTTGATACCAACACACATGTGAACAGATACTATCACCTAAAAATAAAAGAAAACAGAACTTAAATTTATCATCTAATGCAATGAAAAAAATCTTAGATACTACAGGCATATAGTGAGTACAATTATTTAACAAACTCGCTAAAATAAGTTAAGTTATACTATGATAAGAGGATGGCAATAGATAACAACACCAAATGTTGTCATCTTCAGTGTCCAAAAAAAGTGCCGCGCGCATTTTTCGTGCTCGCATAACTGGTATTGCCACAAACCCAGGTGAAAAAGCAATTAGAACAACCTGGTTTTGGGTGATGAGCATAGTCAAATTCTTGACTTATTCAATTCTTGACTTATTCATGTTTTTCCAAGTAAACAGATTAAACATTGAAATAAGCCACATTCGGGACCTCATAGAATCCATGTGTATGGACCAGACTGTTTTCAATTTTCTGTGATTTACATAACACTAGTTATAATTTAAGGGTCAACCAGTATTGTTCAAGACATATTTTCCTTCCAGAACACCTTTTCAAAATATTAACCCAAACATATCAAAATAGTGTACATTTACAAGGACAATTTCAGCCCTCTGGCACATTTTTCCCATGAATGATTTCAATTCTAATAAAAAGACTACAGATAAAACTTTGATTTAAAGCTAGTTTCAAGTGATGAGCATACCCTAATTTTTAAGCTATACCTCAAAGAAGATGGGCCATTTCAACATAAACATTGAAATATGGGTATACTGGCAGCTCTGTCACACGTGTAGTTTGACATTAGCAGCCCTTCTGAAACATTTTAATGAAAGTATATTTTACAAAATTCACTTTTTCACTTACTTCTTAACATCTATTTTAATCCCACTAGCTCTGTAGGCACGAGCGAAATTTAGTGTCGATGTAAATATCCATTATAGTTCATGTTTCCCCAGTGCAAATATAGTCTATTCCAACGCTGATTTCGACGTACTTTAGCTTTTCAGAAACAGTTGGCCTTCCTCAGTGAGATTATCAACTGTTTCACAAACATATTTGATAGTAAACAGCTAAAATATTCTCCGAAAGTCTATATTTTTGCTATTCGACGCGAAAATGGCAACTCAAGAAGAATTGAGCCGCCATTTTTGGTCAGCGTCGACAAATTGCCCACCTGTTGCCAGGCACCTCACCACGAAGTCGATCAAATTAATCACGTGGCCCACGCAAAGGTCGCGCAAGCCATAGAACAACACATAGCGCCTGGGTACGAGGCTGCCCCTGTGGCGTGATTTTCATGTGCATGCAATCTCGTTCCCCGAGCATGCCCGTTCGCAGGTTAAGGGTGGGCATAGCTCTGGAGAAATCGAATTGATTCACGTTGAATTTCCAACGTGAGTTCTACGCATGCTCGGCAATTGTTGCAAAATATAAATAAAGTATTTAGAATTTCTCGTCGAAAATGTGATACTTTTTACGAAATCATTGAAAACAGCTAAAAATTCTGGGGGAAATATGTACGAAAGCTTCGGCTTGGTTGGGATACAACTACCTGAAAAATACAAGGAGAACTTTGACGTTTCAAGCGAAGGCGCTTCGACTTGTCACTTGTACTGTTAGTGTTTGTATACATCGTACTTGTCCCTTACTGATAACTATAATCTCCTCAAGAATGAGTATTATATATTTTTATGCTTTGAAATTTACATTTAACTCTCCTGTCAGAATTTATGGTATATGACTATACGTAGAATAAGTATAAATGGTCAAGTACGATGTATACAAACACTAACAGCACAAGTCGAAGCGCCTTCGCTCGAAACGTGGAAACGATCATGTAGTGAACGTTTCTGTCGAAAATTGAATTTTGAATTTTGGATAAACAAACTTCGTCGTGTGTCATGGGAATTGCCCAAAATTCAGACCTGTCAACTCTCCTGGTGCTGCCGGTAGACTCCCGGTTTTGACCTTTTTCCGGTCTCCCGGTATCAAGATATTTTCTCCCGGTTGCTTGTTTTAATTGTTATGAGGTAATGGACAGTGGCGTAGCCAGCCCGACAATTTAGTCCCGCTATGCAAATTCAAAATTATTGTCATTATTCATTTCTTTAGAAATTGATTGTTTTCACAGTCAATGAACATGGAAATATTTGCATAGCGGGACCAAATAGTCGGGCTGGCTACGCTACTGGTCATTACCAGTAATATTTTCCAGATTCAAATATCTGGCAAGAAATAGTAATCGTGTGAAAATCACTCGTGTCCAAGCTGAAACGTATACTCCATGAACTACAAGTGTTCGGCTTTTTTATCCACTTTCGCACCATAAGCAATAAGTAGATTATTGTAAGGATATTATCTCGAAAACTAGTTGCATTCTTGTCATGTTAGCATTAAATTAAACAAAAAATGCTGTGCTGAGTGGTTATATTACTATCTTAAAAAATAAGCAGAAACTCGACGTTTCGAGCGAAGGCCCTTTGTCAAGAGTTGGCTACTAACTCTTGACGAAGGGCCTTCGCTCGAAACGGCGTCGAGTTTCTGCTTATTTTTTAAGGTAGTAATATAACCACTCAGCACAGCATTTTCGTATTAAATAAGACAGTTTTAGTATTAAATTAAACAAGTTGTTGAAGCGAATGCAATTATAATGATTATAAAGCCGAGAAAATGATTAGATTTTTTACTATTTTGAATACTGCATGACTTTAATTTTGCTCTCCCAGTTTTTGATAAAATCTCACAGTCTTTTAAGGGCTAAAAAGCGAAATCTCCCTGTTTTAAAATGTTAACGTTGACAGGGTCTGCCAAATGGTGAACAAACCATGTTCTTTCGAAAGAGGAATGTTCATACTATTAGGCGATGTGAAATTTATTGCTCTGCAACGATTCTGAGGAGGGATATTGGACTCGATGTCGGAGAGTATATCAGATAAGTGGCTAGCCTTGTAGTTATTCATATCCTATGTAGTTCAGTGCCAGTACTGACAACCGTTCAAGTACGACGAAAACGTAAAGCAATCGCATAAACTAGACTCAGAAACACAACAAATGCATTCTATTAACAAGTGAGATATGTTTTTTTACATATATCGCTAATAATTTTTGAATTATTTCGTTATTAAATATTAAAACGGTTAAATATTCCGTATAAATATTCAAAATATATAGACCATTCAGGGATTGGGCCGCCTGTGACTGAACCGAGGAGCCCGCCACGGCTGAAATCTCGTACACTCGACTCAGAATCAAACCCGAAATCAAGAAATCACGAGCGAAATCAGTGAATTTTGAAATCAGAAATCACTCAAATCACCAATCTCGTACCCAGTGTGACCAGATATTTTGCAAGGCAATTACTAAAGGCCATGTCACACTATTGCGTATCGTACTAGCGTTTGCCAGCGTATGAAAAATATCACTCATACGCCGGTATACGCTGACATACGCCAGGGGTACGTTAGGCATAGGTTGTATACGTTTCAAGTACGGTAGCATACGCTGGCATACGCCGAGGCGGAAATTTTTTTTTAAGCATGTTCAAAAATGTTGTGCGTATCGGACGTATGCTTTATACGATAAGCATACTCTAGGCACACGCTGAATACGCTAGAGGTACATGTACGCCGGATGTACGGTACTCATACGCTGGCATTTCAAAGGATTTTTGTGCGTATGAAAATTATTACATTAATTTTCATACGATTCTCACACGTTTCTCTCATACGCAATAGTGTGACAGGGCCTTAAATAAGCATGCAAAAAATTACCAAAATGTAGAAAAAAATACTAAATTTCTGCTGTCAACTAAAGTGGTCTGAAAACCAGTAGAACAAAATCAGTGAAATGCTTTCCATCACTGAAACTATGTTTTTTCCATGTTTTTCTCGCTTGTACGTTTTGATTGCAATAGACCTTACCGTTTGTTCACTTTTCACTCAATGGCCTCGTTTTCGTGTCAAATATTTACTCATGTTTTGTGCTTAGTAGGGTTGAAATTTGACATGCTAAAATAAGTTAACATGGAAACGAGGCCATTGGCAAGTTGCCAACTCTCACGGATCCACCGTGAGCATCACAGATTTTACTAAAACCTCAGGTCAGCTCACAGGTTGTTAATATCTCACGGATACTCATCAATTCTTCTTAAATATGTTTGCTTTTTTGCACATTTTAACTATTAAGAGCCTATATAGGCAGCCCAAAATTGCGCGTTGAAAATTTTTGCATCGAGTCTATACTTTGTTTATTATTATGACAAGGTTGGCAAGAGTTTTAACGGAAATTTATTACAACGCTTACTAGAGTATGAATATTTCGCAAATTAAAAGCAAAAACAATATAAAATATACATCATTTCAAACACGGGTAATTTTACTACATTCTCCCAAAGTTTTAACTTCAAAAGTTCATTCTAAGGATTTTAAACGGAAGCGAATTATTTTCGGGTTTTTTGAAAAAAATTTTCAAAACTATATGCTATGCTGGGGTCACCTACCATGTGATGTTGTCATATTTTTTAAATCTTGTAGAAGCGCTGATTGGCTGTTGTGCACTGATTCCAGTACAACAGCCAATCAGCGCTTCTTCAAGATTTAAAAAAATATGACAACATCACAGGGTAGGTGACCCCGGCATAGTTTTGACAAAATTTTGCGTACACGATTAATAGCAGCACAGAGAAGAGATATACAGAGAGGAAACTCGCGGCAAATTTGATCACGCCGATACATTAAGTCTATTAACTATAGAAAATTATATTAATTCACCATTTTATTAAATTTTAATAATGCAGAGGAATAAATCTATACATATTATAGAAGTATTCATTTTTTTTTATGCGAGAGTTATATTTTTGAGGAATTTATATCATTCGCTGCTTTGTTATTTATACATGAGCATCTGAAATTTCCAGCCAGTGCTTTTCACGATTTTAATAAGGAGTAGATAGGGAAAAAACTTTTAATAAAAGGAAATCAATAAAAGTGATCACTTACCGTTATTCTACAATAATTTATTGAACAAAATTTCCATGGGTATCTCATTTTTTTGAAAAACGGCGTTTTCCCTATCTTTTGCTATGAAATTTCAGCGACGGCACTGGCTGGGAAATTTTGCGTGGCGCGTGGAACACGTGACACAAAAATTGAGGTTATAGCGAGTGTCTGTTTCCTCTCTGTATATCTCTCCTCTGTGATCGCAGCGTGTAAACGTAACTTAAAAGGCAGCAGCCTTATCAGGCCTAGCCCTCTGCATCTCTTGGTGTTATTGAAACAAAATTAACCATTCATCGTCTTCACTTTAGCCTAAGATTTTGTGAGAAAAATGCCTCAGAAAAAACATGTATGTATTATTGGAGCGGGCCCTAGTGGCATGTCAACATTGTATCATTTTGATAAGCTGAGAAAACAAGGGACAGAGATTCCTGAAGTTGTTTGTTATGAAAAGCAATCTGATTGTGGTGGTCTGTGGAATTATTCTTGGAGAACAGGTATGCAGAGTTCTAAAACAGCAGGGTGTACCGTTTGGGTGGTTTCCAAGTCTGCTGCAAACTGTTTCCTGCCAACATCCAGGCCTACGCGAGGCGCGTAGTGGAAAGAGCCTGGGTACGAGGTTGGCCTACTGACCCTAAGTTTGGAAAATAAATAAAATAAACATGATACTTTTTGTGTGTGTTGTTATCTACTCAGGTGAATATGATGTTTGTGGGTTTATACTCTCAGTGTGCATCCACACTGGGCAAGCTGAAAAGTTTGCCTGACCACGGTGGGAATCGAACCATCCTCGTTCCCAGGGCTTCTCGGCTGCCTGCGTTGCCATAAGCCCTGGGACAAGCCAAACCGGAACACCACAAATTCAGGGGCCGCTTGTATAAAAAAGTGATTAAAGTTAATCATAGTTAAGTGGAAATGTCATCCAATAAGAAGCGCGTATTTGAGAGTTAATCACTATTCAACTACAAAATAGTGATTAAAAAAGTGATTAAGAGTTTTATATAACCGGCTCCTGGTGTTTTCCGGAAGTAAACGTGCTTTGCTGCAGCTAAAAATGCTGACTATGCATTAATTTTTACTGAGTAGTGGAGACGTGTTGGTGAGCAAAAAATATTGGATTTTCTTTTTGTTTTGATTTTTTTCCACTATCAAGGGAATATTTGCAGACCACCTAATGGAATTATACATTATAGGGGTTTTATATTTCGTTATATCGTTATATCGTTAATATTCGTCAAAATACAACCATATTTCGGTGTCGTATTACATGTATGATGTAAACATGATCGAGTCGAAATGTGCTCGAAGTGATTGCTGTGATTCGAAACATGCCGAGTTCTTGTAGCCTGCTTGCCGCCTGGAATTTGAAATTCCAGGCGGCAAGCAAGCTAGGGTTCTTGTACAGATGACCTGTTTCAACACGCGCTTGTAAAGTCACTTCAAAGATTGGACAAAGCCGGACTGGTAAATTATAGATAGATGTCATGCATGATTCCATGAGTTTTGGATTTGGATTTCTAGATTTAAATCTATGTTATGTATACAAAATTATGCGTGCGTAAATTCGTGCAAAAAAGCACAAGGTGTTTGGCCATATGCCGACCATGCCTATGAATATTGAACACCGTTTCATACAGTATGTTTAAAAATTTATTTCCATGCCGTATAATCCTGAATCCTTCACCGATTACATGAAACTATTAATTATAATTAACCTAATATGTCTTTGGCCATCAGGCCATGAATGTGACTATGCTGCTTACATCTGACAGGCAAAACCATGTGCATGACTGTATGGCCCATTGTATGTTTGAGGGAATTTTTTGTTTTCAGACTACAGTATGACAACAATATTTCCTGCATTCCAATATATTTTCTACACGAAAGTGCACCTTCTGTTTCAGATATATCGCCTTTTGTATCAATATATATTGCTATACATATCCGTGACATTAAAAATATGAAAATAGTTTTCCAGTTCAATATAGCTGTAGCAGAAGACTTAAAACCAGAATTTCAGAATAAAGTTTCCAAAGCAACATTTATGTCATTTTTGTAATGGTTTGTTTAAAATCCAGTTTTATACAGATGTGGTAGGATGTCTCCTGGGTAGAAGCCTGCATATACATATACAAATTTTCAGTTTTGTTAATAGTAATAGTTTATTTATAATTTCAATTCTTAGAAGATTTGCAACTGAATGAGTATTCTATTGTTGACAGGAAACAGTGTAAATTCATGATCTTCACATGATACAGTCTCATCCAATATGACACTAGAATTGGAGACCCTTCACCTCAGACATACCAGGGGCATTCACTTATTGGTGTGCGAAATTCAGTGAAGTCCCCTTTCTCCGGTCCTGTTATCCCCAGGTATTCAATTGGAATTTTTACTTGAAATGTCCCAAACAATTCCTTTACTCTTCTGTAAAAGCCTTTCCTAGCCAACTGCTTTATTTCAGCATTTATATACAGCAGATAAAAGACTAAGTGAACCCCCCACCATGATCTCGCTCATTCCCCGAGACCCCGACTTGGACACTGAAAATCAGTGTCTTCCCTGTTTGCAAGGAAATGAAAAACCAGTGAATAGGAGGCGATTGTCCTTGCATTCCCCTCTGGTATGCCAAAGGCGAAGGGATTCAAATGACTGGTGCAATTGAATATACTTATTCACTGTATTTAATTAAAAGCTATTAAAATTACTCACTGATAATACGACTGAGAAAATTCACAAATAGCAAAATACACCTTGAACATATACAGTAGTATATAGGTTTATAGTACAGTATAGTCTATAAATGGCCAATTGGAATTATAGCATATAGTATAATATACCAAGGCATTTTTTAATACCATAGACTGGTGGGGCATTTGCCCCACTGGGCGCCTTCCTCTGCCCCACCACTCAGGAAAAAAATTGGCCTTTTGCCCCAAACCAGGGCCCTAGCTAGGACCTGTATTGACTAAATGAGTTTAACATTGGAAATAAGTTTAAAAAACAAAATTTGTTGGTGAGCATACGTATAAAACTGATGTTGTGATGGCATGTAATTTATTACAAATTTCACCATTAAAACTTTGTTTTGAGAAGCTGAGATTGTTTAAAAATGTGTTCTCAGAATGCAGGAAATGCTATTTCAGAGACCCAGATTTAAAAAAATTCGTTGGGGCATGCCCCCAGCTTTAACCCCCCCCCCCCTAGCTAACCCGTGCCTGCGGTACTCTGCTCACACCTTCGGCGATGTAAATTTCCACGGTTTTTTCCGTAGAAAGTTGGACTCCTCATTGATAGTCGGACGTGTTGGTTCGCGATGCCATAGCAAATCTACAAACTTGTTTCTCTGGTTCCGAAAATACTCAAGAACTGTTATTACGAGTTAAAACTATATATCATCCCAATTGAAGAGAGGAAGTATTGCAGAATACCTGTCCACTAGTACTGGTCATATCATGTAGCCCGGCCACTATTTCATTGGATACGTAGTATCCCGATCTTATTGTCCCGTTCTAATGTACACAAACTAATTACTAAGACAATATTACGCAATGATACTATAAAGGAAATATCATGCAAGACTTTTAATGTTTGATACTAGTGCTAAGTATACTCAGTTATAATATACAATTATTTTTCTCCCAACGACGTTAATTAATCATAATCTATCAAACACCAAGTTCGGTTGTGAGGAACATTACACCGTTACACAGTTAAACATGCATGCACATGACGAAAATCGGATGTTAGCATGAGAAAATATGGTTTCGTGTCAAAAAACGATTGTCATATGATGTCTTCAATTACGCCAGAATCAGTCCTGAAAACGTCGTAAAGCTACGCTTTATAAATCACAAAGCCGCAGTAACGAGCTGACTGCATATCCGCGTATCCACTGCACTAAAATATAGAGCAACATATAGCACGATAACTTGATATATTAATGCTAACAAACTGCACGACTGGACCGCGTATATGAGCGTATCCACGAATCCGCGTATTATTTTAGTGGTCCACTAAAATATAGAGCTATACCTATAGCTTGACAATTTGATCTATTAATGACTAACTGCCACGATTGTTCTCCAAATAACGACTTGACTGCGTATCCGCGTATCCACTAAAATAGTTACCTTTACCACCATGAGATTTTAATCTATCAATTTATTTATTATTAATCTATTGAGAATAAATATAGATGTATTAATAGATCGTATCCATGATGTTTGAAAGGCATATATGTATATATTATAAAATGGACGGGTATTCTGGAATCGCTCCGGAAGATATTGCAATGTTTGTTCAGAATTATGGAATTAAAAACAATGAAACTTACAAAGATCTAGAGTTACAAAAGCAAAGAAAATAGTTACAAAAAAGAGTTACAAAAGCAAGGAAAAGCAAGTGCATGGGAATGGCGAAAAATATAACTTAATAAAATATGTCACATGTCATCACAACACAAGATATGAAGCGACAATGTGTCCTGCTCACATTTTGGCATCTCAACCAAGCAATACAATGTTTAGAAATGACCATTTCCGCGCGCAAAACACACTGGGAAGCGCATCTAATAAGAAGAGTATCCGCTGAATGTTTTGTTTAAGGGCGCGGGTCAATGATGCGTCCGACTATCAATGAGGAGTCGGACTGTCAACGGAAAAAAATTTGCTTCGGCGATCGCATACTATGCTGGGGAGAAGGCAAGAAAAGTGGGCCCTTTGGCAGTTTTGCCCCACCACACTGTTAATTTCGGGGAGTTAATTTAACTCCGCTGGAGTTATACTGTACCTCAACTAACTCCAAAAGTGGAGTAAAATTAGGTTCAGAATAATACCACTGGAGTTAAATTAACTCCTTGAAAATTACAGTGCACTGAAGAATCCTTAAAAAATGCACTGTAATATACTATATGCTATAATTCCAATTGGCCATTTATAGGCCAAGTGACCAATACCAAAAGCATAATAAAACACAATATATTACACCATTCAAACTTTACTATCGTAAATATATATTAAATATTTTATATTTACAGTGCTTGAAATTTTACAATTATACTTGAGCACAATGTTTCAATATAAATAGACAACTTCGCTTTTATATAACAAGAAAATGTTAAAACGAAGAAACTTTTTAATAGCTTCATAGTTGACGTTTCTTCTGTATTGTTGTAAGCTTACTTCTACTTCATAATTGTCCATTTTGTTATTTTCTTTCCTTCTGTTTGCAAATTATAGGGACCGGTCATTAATTACAGGGGAGGGGGGTGGGGGGCTGGTGGAAAAAGAGGGGAGGTTAGATATTTTTGTGCATGAAAAAAGGGGGTGCAATATAAATACCTGCCCCGCACGACCCCGTCGTACCATAAAACCTACAGATAAAAAATAGAGAGCCGTACAACTGTAGTAAACTCCAACACAACACCATTTATTTAACTGATTTCAACATAAACATGTACATTGGAACAGCCGTTGACTCTATATATATATATATATATATATATATATATATATATATATATATATATATATATATATATATATATATATATATATATATATATATATATATATATACCGGGTGTCCCAAAAAAAAGTACTCCGGTTTGATTCGTAATAACTTCTAAACAAGTAAAGCTTTTAAAGATAAATAACTTGCATCTAATAGAGGAAGGACTAACTTAGATTTTGATGTTTTACAGTTGTATTTCACTTAAAAAGTCACGGAGATATTAATGTTTAAAATCGGGAGCATATATCTGGATGTGTCTGAAATATGCAAAAAACGGCGTATCAAATATTAATCAAGATTTGCCAGACTGAAACATGCACGATTACCAGTAAATAAATGACACTTGACAAATTGTTTATTATGAAACAAATTATTATTATCTATAAAATACAAGCAAGATTTATTCGTCCGAAATCCGCTTGTGTTCCTAGCACGAATATACGTTTCCTTATTTCAAGAGAGCACTGCATCGCGAAGGATTGTCATGGATCGTTCGTAGTTCTGAATTAGGGCATGCTGTCACAATCGAATTGTGAAGCTCTTCTAACTTTTGCAACGTTCTGAAATCTTGTTTAGAACACTCAAACTCTTTTTCTTTTTTCTTAATCTTTTTAAGTTCAGAATAAATGAGAATGAAACACAATCAAACCATACAACTTGATAAGACATAACAAGCATGCAACTCTCCAGAGACATCCAACACTTTTGCATGGAACAAAACGTAACAAAATAGTAGCGTTGATAGGCCCTACTGTGATGTGTATTTGCAAAAAGCAATATTATTTCCTTCATTGCAGAATAATATTCATCCTGCTCTAACCAAGAAATAATCAACTCTGTTTTGAATCCATGAAAAACATAAAAAAATTAGGCTATTTTATTTCAGAAATTTTAAAATTTAAGCGCCTGCCTTGCATGCCATTCATCTACCTTATAAGTTTGTAAAGACCTATTAAATACTTGCATAATATCGTACGTTCATATTTCAGGAAACAATGAGCTAAGACTTACATGTAAGATGTCTAAATCTATGCCATATCCCTTACAAACCCTAACGACAATTCCCTGAAATACAAGTTAGCCTGATATGTCATCAAGCTAACAAACGCTGAAGTTAATATTTGATATGCCGATTTTCGCTAATTTTAGACACATTCAAAAATATGCTCCCGATTTTGAACATTAATATCTCCGTGAATTGTTAAGTAAAATACAACTGTAATATATCAAAATCTAAGTTAGTCCTTCCTCTATTTAATGCAAGTTATTTCTGTTTGATAGCTTTACTTGTTTA